ATTACATATTAACTTGGATGAGACTTCAGAGAAGATTGTACAGAATTTGTTTGGTAAATTTTCTTGCAGACCAAAACTGGCTTATTTCTTTGCTAATAATTCAATAAAGCATCATAATACATGATTGAATGTAGAAATTTAAAAGTTAAACTTCAAATCGTCATAATTTTAGAGGTTTGGGTCGTCATTACAGTCTCATTCACGCAGTAACCGTAACAGTAACAGTAACCCTGTAGATAAAAAGCTTATTTGTCGTCACTTTTGCCTTTATATAATCAGTCATATTAGGTTTTCTTCTATCTATCTTAGGAGACGACATTTTTCGCACATTGAAGCGCATAGAGAGTAATCAACCTTGGTGGACATGATGTGATCAAAACTTATCCTAAAGAATGTTTCATATAAAATTAAGGGTTGTTTACAAGTAGTTTTAAACCAGTTCTTCAATATTCAGTATCATGTTGTAATGTATGCGAATTTTCTGCATACTAACTTTCACCGTCATATCAAGAAAACAAATCAACTGATTTGGAAGACGGGATTTAAAAGACATGATGGGGGGTGGAGGAGAAATCAAATTTATGTAATTCTTGAATTAAACCGCACAATACATTTAATAATTACAAACTACTTAGAACAACGCATGTGTTCACTAACAACTAAGTATGTCAAACCAGGAATAAACATAAATTAAATAAAATTAAATTAAATTAAATTAAATTAAACCAATAATATTTTGAACTATACATTCATTACAAAGCCCAGTTGTGGAAGTTTAGCAATTAACAAGGCCTTATCAACGTTTTTAAGAACCGTAAACCTTCAGAAACGAGCCGTGTCTGTAAGAAGGGGATTTATCTTACATGGAGGGGTTTAGGATAAAATTCCCGCTCCTGAGAATCAGAATCTGGAAAACCAGGACTGGAAAATGGATGTCGGAAGAGTAAATTCTTCTTATCCTTCTTAGAACAAGATTTCAGGGAATGTAGAAAAATTCAACAGGTACACACAGTGATTGCAAGCTCCAAGAGAAAACCGATGAAGAATTTGCAAATTAATTTTTAAATTGCTTTATAGATCTAAAATGCACATGTCTCGGGCTCAAAAAAGTTCAAGTAAGTTAGAAAGATAAAATCAAAAGCCAAGACGTTGCGACACTTTTAATTCGACCCAGTCTTGAAAATTAATGCAACTTTGTCGGTCTGGATCTTTGTGAACTAATAACAATATTATAACAATAAATATTTTTTTTCATCAGAATTAGGTGTGTCCCAAAAATCATGATAAGAGCGATTTGGTCTTATGATTGCTATTTTTCAAAGAAAAGTTTCACTTCTTCGCTTTTTACCACGCTGGCTGAACACTGACAAATATTGGAGAATAGACACTGTAATTAAAAAGGGTTGAATAACATATCATATTTACATGGTTGAAAAACTGAAGGAACGTTGGTTTAATTAATTAATCATTTGTCTCAGAAATGAAGGGAAAACGAGTTAAAATATCATCATAATCCTTATTTATTTAATAAAATATACAGAATAGATTAAAATATAACTCTATCCTTTTAACACTGGAGGTTTCAAATAATGATTAATAATGGTAGACTCATCTTAAGGACGAATACAAATCTTTGACAGTTTTCTTAAATGGGTTCACAGTGTTGATTTAGATATATTTGTCTCTGTTTACAGAATCGGGTATACATCCACCCAGGGCTTCTATCTCTTTAATGTACTGCCTGAAACAAGTATTTAACATAAAACAATATAGAAAAATTGTATCTTATAGAATTGTTTGTTTTACAGTGTCCAAAATGTTTACTTTGTTGACTACACAAACAAAGTAATGTTTTTGTTTGTCTTCTACGTAAATTTACAGATTGAACATAAGGAAAACTTTTACAATGTGCAAAACTAGGTTTTTGTGAAGCCTCTTGAATAAAAACAAAAAACCCTTGAATTTACAAATAAGAGTAAATAGACTAGGCCATCTCTCAAAAATGAAAATGAACACTGCAATATGAAAAAACAGGTTTAAGAAAAAGGAGAAAACTATTCATTTTTTCCCCCTTCAAAACTTTTCGTTTAATCAAATGATATTCTGGGAATGTATCTATATATAAAAAGTTTTAATCCATGTTTGTCCGATCATAACTCAGGAGCCCTGGTCCGATTTGACTCAAATTTTGATTGGGGAACCCGTGAGTGCCACGGGAATGTTCTTAGCTTGGTTTTATGACTAAGTTGAGTGGGCTAAAATCTTAATTAATGACAAGGAGCGTGTAAATGGAGGGACAAACCATGACTCCCCTGGTCAACGCTGGGTTCGCAAGCTAGTCTGAGCTAGTCTGTATATAAAGTTATAATCTCTGTTTGTCTGTCTGTTTGTTTGTCCGATCATAATTCGGGAACCCCTTAACCAATTTGTCTAAAATTTTGATTGGGGAACTCGGGATAACCACGGGAATGTTCTTAGCTAGAGATTTTAAGTTGAGGGGGTCGACCTTAAAATCGAAAATTTTGATTCCCGGTAAAATCGTTGAAGTGCGGGTAAACGGTGGGAGTAACTTTATGTAACATTGGCAGTTCTGAGTTCCCAAACTAGTGTATGTATTATTAAGGTGTAATTCAAGGTTTGAAATATCTAAGTCGTTTTTTTAAAGCTAAACTGTATCTTAATGGAATGGGAAATCTACGGTCACTTTTCCCTTCCTATGGCGGATAAAATAAATTCTTTTTAAATGATACAAATCAGGAAAAGGAAGGGTCAAAAGTCCAAAAAGGGAATACAAGACCGTCAACCTTAAAAGATTAACAATCAATAAAAAGTGAGGCAAGTGCATGATTTAGTCAAGAAAAGAACAAAATTGAGGAAATGTCCGAATACTCACTTGTTGAGGGCGGAAAAGTCGATATTGTCGACCGCGACGATGGTGTGCTTAATCTTGGTCTCATCGTTGTAGGTGTCTGCCTTGGCGCGCATACGGAATGAGTAGGTCTTGAAGCTGGCGTTACTGAATACTGCGTTGTATCTAGATATTAATATTTGTCAGAACCTGGAAGATGGTAAATTTCATGTTAACTCAATAAACAAGGCTATTCATTGCAACTGGAATGTTACTTCATATATTAGATAGAAAACCAGATCAAGAGAAAGTGTCAGCAGCAGAATTAGTTATTACATTGGTTAAATTTGGTTAAAAAATACAAACAAACAAACAAACAAACAAACAAACAAACAAACACAAACAAACAAACAAACAAACAAACAAACAAACAAACAAACAAAATATTGAAAATATAGGAATCCTCAAATAACAAGAAGTTAAACTAATAACGATTAGTTCTACTACTTCTCTCGTGCCACCAGGGTGAAATTAATTACGTTAAGTTTAGTTCAGTTATATAATCATATATAAATAATTTCTCTATCCAATCCTAAATATACTTTTGTAACTTAATTACCTCTCCTCATCCTGCTCAGATAGGGTTCCGACCTCCTCCGAAGTAGCCTCCAGCAGCTTCTCCGCGGTTTCCTGGAGTAGCGTAGAAAATAATTTACAGATTGAATTTGATATGAGATATTAAAATACTGGAATAGAAAAATAATTTATTTAATGAATTTGATACGAGATATTAAAATACTGGAATAGAAAAAAAATTTATTTACTGAATTTGATACGAGATATTAAAATACTGGAATAGAAAAATAATTTATTTACTGAATTTGATACGAGATATTAAAATACTGGAATAGAAAAATAATTTATTTACTGAATTACATATGAGATATTAAAATACTGGAGTAGAAAAATAATTTACAGATTAAATTAATAAACCGAGATACTTAAATAATGCAAAAAATAATTTACAGATTGAATTTGATACGAGAAGAAAAAAATACTTATATGATTAAGAAATATCTGCACACACAAATTTCAAAAATTTAAAATTTCCTCAGCTTTTGGTACGTGGATGATACATTATGGTAATTTTTGATGAAGATTTACGGAATGGTGCTTGAATGGTTATTGGTTAATGGTCATTATAAATAATACATCAAGATGGAAGCAGTTTGTCAAATTACTTCAACTAATCTGAAATCAGTTTGCCCAAGTACTTCAACTAACCTGGAAACAGTTTACCCAAGTACATTAACTTAAATGGAAACAGTTTGCCCAAGTACATCAACTAACCTGGAGACAGTTTGCCAAAGTACTTCAACTAACCTGAAACCAGTTTGCCCAAGTACTTCAACTAACCTGGAAACAGTTTCCCAAAAACTTCAACTAACCTGGTCACAGTATTTCCAAGTACTTCAACTAACCTGGAAACAGTTTGCCATAAGTACTTCAACTAACCTGGAGACAGTTTGCCCAAGTATTTCAACTAACCTGGAAACAGTTTATCCAAGTACTTCAACTAACCTGGAAACAGTTTAACCAAGTACTTCAACTAACCTGGAAACAGTTTGCCCAAACAGAATCAGAGTAATCCGCAATGGTCAAACTGAGCATTAGTCTCCACTTATAGTTCTGGAGGTCTGTAGAGCACTTCTCACACCTTTACATAATCATTTTGAATCTAAGGGTGGTTAAACTAGTTATAGCATCGATAAAATAATTCCTTTCGGTTGTTAAGTTTTTACAATGCCTGATGTCTATGCTACAAGGCAGAAGTACCGAAAAAAACCAGGACGATTTAAAACCTGACCTAGGACCTGAACACTACCCAGAGTAAAACCAACCTGAAAGATCCGTCTCCGTTCTCCTGCACCTTCTTGTTGCACTCCTTCCCATCAACCTAAATAAAAAGAATCATTGAATCAAAAGGTCTGTTAAACTAAGTTTTTTTTTGAGTGGCATATCTGATTGATTTACAACGGTACCCTTACAAAGCTTTATCTGATCTAGTTTAAAATCCATGTTTTTATTTTGAAAATTATCAGTTTTAACTGTAGTTTCTCTACAAAAGAGCAATTTTTAATTGTAGTTTCTCTACAAAAGAGCATTTTGGCTACAGGATAACTATATAGGAATTATCAGAATTAAATACTTTAAGCTAAAAAATTGACGCTAACTTCCACATTATTGATTAGATAAATCTTTGTCCGGCGGGCATTGCACCACTTCAAATTACAAGGACAGTTCCAATAACACTAAAAACAAGTTTATAAATGAATATGTTTACCTGGTTGGGGCAGGCCTTGTATAGAGCCTTATCCTTGGAGAAGTACGTTACACTGGCCAGACAGCTGTAGTACTCACCCCTGTACAGTGTACAACATTAGAAGAGCATCTCGAGAATGAAACGAGAAACTTAAAAAAACAGTAGTTTCATTTTTTCAATTAATTCAACTTTTAACACATATTTATATTTAATGAGCGTTTCTTAATATTTTTACGTCTTAATTGTAGAATATTTTCAGTTTAAATATAGTATCGTCATATGTTTAATGCTTTATTAAAGATAAACCGCTGCAATTGTACAGATAATCTACTGAGAACAGTTCATGCGAAGTAATGTTATCGATTCGGTGATTTAAACCATTAAAATACATAACTATTTATAAGTTATTTGTGAAATGAGATCTGCAAGAAGCCCCATCTTGGGCAACCCAGACCGCCTAAACCAGCCCGGCCACCTACTACGAGGAGATTTACGCTGGTAAACAAAGACAACCTAAAAGTTATTAAGAGACGAAGAGACGACTTTACATTGTTTACTTTTTACATTACCTATTTGTCCAGTAGAAAATCTAAACTATCAAAAAACCCTGGATTCTTCTCCTACCTGTCAGAATTGTAGCCAAGGTTCTCCAGTTTAACCTCGGACAAGGATTTGACGGATCCTGCATCTGCTCCTGCTCCTCCTCCTCTTTGACCCTGACAAAGAAGATATTTTAGTCTGCACTTTACTTCTAAAGATATTGAATTTGAATACATTTTTTTTCTCAGATTAATATTTTTTTTCTCTCCTGCATTTATTTGTTTGTATAAATCAGTGCTTAGGATCCGTTGGTTCCGCAACATTTTGGCTTTCGTATCCCAAGGGTCAAAATATTGAAAAGAAATTGTAAACAAATATTTTTTACCGTCAAAACCCAAACACCAAATGTTGAAAAAAAAGTTTATTTTAAAATTTCCTTCTCTAAATGGTTCTAAAAAGCAGTGTTTCGGATGCATATCATTTTGATTCGGATCCGGATCCGCGGATCCGCATCCGTGATGATGGATCCGGATCCTGACACGGATACGGATCCGAGGTAACTTTTGATTCTGTGAATCGGATTTTCCCTATTAAATGTTAAGCAAGGTTAGAATTTATAAACTATAGTAATCCTAAAGTTAAAAATGTTGTCATTACTATTATATAAATGTAAACATTAAATTATTAAAGATAATTTTGACAAATTTTCGTCATGTAAATAATACATTTACGAACCATTTTGATTTATTTATTCCATGGTTTTGGTTAATTTTTGGCGCTACCCGGATCCATATCAACGTTTCCTGATACGGATCCGGATCCGACCAAATGATACGGATCCGACCGGATCCGGATCCGAAACACTGCTAAAAAGTTCGGAAATCTGAAGGTCCATGACCAGGGGTTGATGATAATAATGATCACCTGAACAGTGAGACTGTTGAAGGTCGAGTTTCTACCACTCTTCTCCCACCAGGATTTAATCTGCTGAGTCTGTTCCAACTCAGGGTCTATCATAAGATCCCCGCCACTAGAATACAATATTTTTAGATCCTCGCCACTAGAAAACAATATTATTAGATCTCCGCCACTAGAACACAATATTATTAGATCCCCGCCACTAGAATACAATATTATTAGATCCCCGCCACTAGAACACAATATTATTAGATCCACGCCACTAGAATACAATATTATTAGATCCCCTCCACAAGAATACAATATTATAAGAACCCCGCCACTAGAATACAATATAATTAGATCCCCGCCACTAGAATATAAAATGAAAGAATATGAAAAGCATACTGACCTGAGAGTAATCCCGTTAAAGTCTGAAACCTTAGCACCCTTGACTGCTATTACAGGTTGACCGGCTCCTTGGAAATTCTCTGCTGTGGTACCCCATAGGGTCAGTACAACCTAATCAAGCAATCAATATCAATTGAATGAATGAAAGGTTGAAACCTTAAATAATCTCATTGACTAGAAATTAATACGACTGACTTCCATAAAAAACTGAGACTTTCATAAAATGAATAATATTAGGTGAGATAAACCAGAAAATTAACCATCAACCATTTCAAACAAGTGATAGAAATATTAGCATGAATAATGAATATACCTCTGTGTTGGATTGATCACAAACATTGATTTCCCTCTTCACCAGCTCCCTACCAGCTCTGGAAAAATTACATATTAACTTAGTACTGGAGATCCGAAAAGTTCCGAATCAATTAAAAGTACTACGAGTTTAAAACAAGACTCAAACTTGAACAGGCAGAAAAAGAAAGAAATAAAGCCGCCATGTTAGCAGTTAGAATGTTTGATGAACAATCTAATCATTAAAAAATAGAAGTGTTTCACAGTTTGAGAGAAAGTAAAATGAAAGACAATTTTATCGATGGAATTTTGGATTTGATTAAAATAAAACAAAGTGAAAAATATGTTAAACGAAGTCCAAACTTACTTGGTGGTTATGGTCACAGCTTCGGTTGTATCCTTGCATATCCCCAAAATATCCACAATAGTATCCTTGCTAGCTCCAGCTAGATCACTGATAAATAGAAACAAATATAATATCCACAATAGTATCCTTGCTAGCTCCAGCTAGATCACTGATAAATAGAACAAATATAATATCCACAATAGTATCCTTGCTAGCTCCAGCTAGATCACTGATAAATAGAACAAATATAATATCCACAATAGTATCCTTGCTAGCTCCAGCTAGATCACTGATAAATAGAACAAATATAATATCCACAATAGTATC